TACAATAGCCAAGAAATGGAAGCAACCTAGGTGTCCATCAGTAGATGAATGGATAAAGAAGATGTGGTACATATACATAATGGAATATTATTCAGCCATAAGAAGAAAACAAATCCTACCATTTGCAACAACATGGATGGAGCTAGAGGGTATTATGCTCAGTGAAATAAGCCAGGCGGAGAAAGACAAGTACCAAATGATTTCACTCATATGTTGAGTATAAGAACAAGGAAAAACTGAAGGAACAAAACAGCACCAGAATCACAGAATCCAAGCATGGACTCTAACAGGTACCAAAGGGAAAGGGACTGAGGATCATGGGAGGGAAAAAGGCGGGAAAAAAGAAAGGGCATATTAAAATTAGCATGTATAGTGTGTGGGGGGGGGGGTGGCGGGGGGAATGGGGAGGGCTGTGCAACACAGAGAAGACAAGTAGTGATCTACAGCATCTTACTACGCTGATGGACAGTGACTGTAATGGGGTTTGTAGGAGGGACTTGGTGAAGGGGGGACCCTAGTAAACATAATGTTCTTCATGTAATTGTAGATTAATGATAACAAAATAAAAATAATAATAATAAATAAAGTAAATTTTAAAAAATTTCCTTCCCCTCTGAAGTATCTAATGTGTTTTCTGGTTTCTGGACTAAATCCTGACTGTTATTCACAGAAACACTGAAAATTAAGCCAATGATCAAAGATAATGCTGGTTTATTAAAGTCCTCTTACAAAACCTTGTAGATTCTTAAAATGTAGACCAAGAATATCTCTGGAATTGCCAAATTAGGAGAGTCTTTACAAGTCTTTTTTAAAGCCCAGAATTTCATACAGCTCACTAAATTGCAACACTCTATTTTCCGATGTGACACATGTAAGTTTCTATCAGGAAAAACAGATCTGTTATCATCCTGGTTCTATTCATGAAGCCTGAGGCATAAATCAAGAAAGATAAGTAGTGATTATTTTAAAAAACCAGCAATAACTTCAAACTGATTGCTGTGATTTGCACAGATGTTTGATAGTGAAATATAAAGATAAACGAGAAAAAAGTCTGGAAAGTTTTTTATAAAAAAAAAAACCACCTAAACTAAAACATGATTTAAATTAACGGAATAAAACACTTTAACTGTACACTTAAATACCCCCCTCGTCTAGAAGCTCATCTCAGTTATCTAAAACCGGAATCAACCTAAAATATTACTTAGATCAGGATAAAGGATACAAACCCAATTATACCTACTTCCCTCTTGCCTAAAGCAGTGTTAGAAGGAATAAAGGGGATCACATACCACTGTTGCCACAGTCAGCACAGGAGATGAGTTCCTCTGGCTTCTTTTCTCGGTTTTGTTCTTTTGTACCAAGACAGAAACTACAGATGGGGATTGGTTCAGCAACTGGCTGTAAAGAAAAACACACTTAACTCAGGTACTAGTACTTTTATTTATTGCTATTAAGACATTAAAATTACAGTTTTTAATTCCTACCAGAGTTGAATGTAACTTTAGGACAATTGTACCATTCTCCTGAATTTCCAACAAAGGAGATGAGCTTTGCCAAAGCCTGCTTTTTTTGGCCAGGCCTTTATAACTAATCCTGATACTGATAACTTCTGTGCAAAAAATCATTTCCCAATCATGATGGTCACTTAGAAACTAAATGTTAGGCATAGTATGGATTAAACAAGGCAAATCTTCACTAAGATTGAAATTTCAACTGAATTAAGTGTAGGAAATCACAGTATCAGCCCTTAAAAGGCATGTGGAGAAGAGTAGTAAGATGTATACAAATAGGCATCACACAAGACAGAAGATATTAAGTGCTGTAAGAGACCTATACTAAGTGCTCTATATAAGTGGGAAAAATAAACTCTGATTGTGGTTTAGAGAGGAAGGGTTGAAAAAGGAATAAAACATGCCATAAGTGCCAGTACTATGTTACGGAATCTTAAGAAGCTTACCCAAAGACAACTAAAAATCACTGTCAACAGCAGATTTAAACCTACAGCACTGCCCATCCCCTGAGGGTGGAGACAAATGGGCAACACAGATAGTATAAATGAGATGAACTGAGGTGGAGGCTAGATGAGTTTGTGAAGATTGCCACTGAATGTCTTACAAATAAGACTTTAGGGATGGGGTGGTTGGGTGGGGAGGGTGAGGGATAAAGGGGTAGAAAAATTCTCAATCATAATATAAGTTGGTCACGGGGATGGTAGTGCAGCATGGAAAATATAGACAATGACTCTGTAATATCTTCCTATGTTGACTGATAGTAACTGTACTAGTGGGGGTGAGGATTTAATAACGTGGTAACTGTTGAACCACTGTGTTGTATACTTGAAACCAATATAAGATTGTATAGCAACTATACTTCAATAAAAAAATAAAAATAAAATGGTGGAAAACTATTTTAAAAAAACAGATGGACTTTATCCTGTAGGAAAAGAGAACAATGGAAGGTTACTGATGCAAGAGATGATCACAGGTAAAACATATGAACCGTGATTGCAATAGTCTATTGAAGACAAGGTAAGAACATGAACCAAAGCTAAGGAATTGGAATACAGAAAATAGCTATGGACTTAAAAACCAACCTTTGTGGAAGCAACAGAAAAGCAAATGAGTTAAACATGACTAATTTAACTGAAAAGATGGTGACCCCATCAACTGTAAAAGGAAGTCATTTTGAAGAAGAAAACTAGGAGGAAAGCGAAGAGATGATGAATTTTAGATGTGTTTAGTTGGGGCGCTCTCAGTTACCTCTCAGCTATGCATGCTAAGCATAGTGCAGGATGGCCATATAAAGCCCTCAAGATGCCTTCAAGTCTACTGTGGAGAACATATAAAACGTTTATAGGTAAAATGATAAAAAGATTACAATAGGAAACAAAGGAAGAAGTGATCAAGTAGGGAAAAGGGTGTTGGGGAAAGAAAAACATCACAGACTAAAGTTCTTCTGAGAGTATTTGACAGGCAGGCCCACCTGATGGGGGTGTTCAAAGAAAATACAGAATCAGAATTTATTTAGCTTACAATGCCTATAGAACATTTATGTAGCAATGCCCACGGACATTATGATACAGGAGTCTGGAGGTCAAGAGAAAGGTTGGTCTGCAGGTAAAACTCCCTAAGTCACATACATCCAAAGTGGCATTAATGTCATCAGAGTTGATGAATTTGCCCATGGAGAATAAGTGGAAAGAAGAGAGCTAAGGTCAGAATCACAGTATTTAAGTAACTATCAAGAAAAGAGTCTGAAAAGGAAATAGACTAGTGAGGAAGTTGGATGGTACATCAATAAAGAAATGTCCTATGCAAGCACTGGTACTACCATCAGCCAAGAGATTAAATGAGAGGTGAACAGCTGGAACTTGTCTTAATAATTATGGTTGGGGTACAGATGAACACATCCTTTCAAGAACCAGGGAATAAAGGAAAGACTTCATCCCGGAGTAGAAACTTCAAGTAAGCTCTAAAGAAGGCCTAGAAAGAAGACAGACGCAAGGCCATGAGGCTTGAGCTTTATGCTGTAGCCCCTACAGGGAGACAGTCACAACATACTTAACTAACAAATGACTCATATCCAGAATCTGTAAAGAACTCTTACATGTCAATCAGGAAAAGATAGACAGCTCAATAGAAAAGCAGGTAAAAAACTTCAACAGGCATTTCTCAACAGAAAATACGTGAATTAATATATATAAATGTCTACAAGTGGCATATAAATAAATGGCTAAGGAAAGATGCTCAGACCCATCACCATCAAGGAAGATCTTCAAGAATGGCTAAAATTATGAAGACTGGCAACAGTAAGTAAAGTCGAACACCAGAAACACTCTTACACTACTGACAAGAATATAAACTGACAAAATCACTCTGAAAACCATTTGACCTTATCTACTAAAATGGAATACAGGCCTAGATTATGATCTAGCACTTCTACTCCCAGCTATATACCCAAATGAAGTACATAAACACATATACAGTAAAACACATATACAGTATGTGTTTTACATACACAAAAATGATCAGGGCAGCTTTACTAAAAAAAAACAAAATTTACTCAAAGAGAAATACCCAAATAACTAGCAATGGCTGCACTGATAAACAGATTGCACTGTATCCATACAGAATATTGAACAGCAATGAAAATGAACAAATTACAGTTTAATATGGATGAATATCACATATCACAAACAATACTGAATGAAAGAACAGACACAAAAGAATACATACTGTATTGTTTTATTTACGTAAAGTTCAAAAACAGTTTTGTACTGTTTTAAGCCCAGATGGTAGTTACCTTTGAGGAGAAAGGAAGAGGTAGTGAATTGGAAAGGGACTTTTGAGGTTCTGGGTTTTTTTTCTTGACCTCGGTGGTGCTTTCATGGATGTTAGGTATATAATAATTAAGGGATATACTTACAATCTGTGCACCTTATGTGTGTATATTTTAATTAGGGAGTTAGATTAAAAATAGTGAAACAGAGTAGGACTCTGGTACTCTTCGAATATTCTGAAAGAAATACCAGTGGTGATTTGGACACTGGAGTCTAGAACTTAGAAAAAAGGAGAAAACAGGCTAGAGAGAGATTTAAAAGACATCACCGTGCAGGTGGTAACTGACAGCACCCAGTGAGATGGTGAATGGAATGGGTAGAAAAAGAGTGGAGAAGTGAGATGAAGTCTGAGAGACAGGAATATCAACATTTAGAAGCATCAGAGGGAAAAAAAGGAGGCCAGAAAAGACCAGTCTGAGAGAAAACAGAACTAAGAGAAACGATGACACAAGAATTTCAAGAAGCAGAGAGCAATCAATAAGCAGTGTTGGGAAGATAAAGTATCTACTGGATTCTACAGCTGAGCAATCACTGGAGATCTCACAGAGTGAAAGCATTCCAGAGGTGACAAAAGAACTAAAGTCAGAAGAACCAACCAGTGACATGATGGGACAGAGAGCAGACAGGACATACTAAAAAGAAATGGCAGAGGGTTTGAAGTGTTATAGGCATTTAAGATGAGAAAGACTAAACCTATTTAAATGTGGAATTAAAGACACACATGGTCAAGAGATTCAAGAAACAGGAATATACTATATAGGAAGGTTTAGAGAAGCTGGACTATTCAATATAGTAGGTAGTAACATGTGACTATTTAGATTTAAAATAAAACAAATTTAATTCCTCAGTCACACTAGCTATATTGCAAATGCTCAATAGTCACATGTAGCTAGTGGCTATCATACTATCATACAACACAAATATTATACCATTACAGAAAGTACTACTGGATAACACTGGTTTAGAAAAGAGGATGGATTTTAAAGCATGGGTAAAGGGACTGGTAGTATAGAATGGTGCAGGTGCATATTGTCAGTGGGGTACTGCAAAGGCAGAAAAATCAAAGGCCCTCACTTCTGAAAGCCTCGTTTCTTTCTGGAAAATAGGAAATAAAATCACCTGCTAAAACTGGGTCAGGGGTTGGCAAGATAAAGCACATGAAGGTGACATCTGAGTAAGAAAACTAAGGTGAGCCTAGCTGGGTCTAAGAACAGAGCTAATGAAAACACCCTCCTATCAAAATGGAAAGTGAACACACATTTCTCAGGCAAGAAAAGAATCAGAAAAAAACTTGTATTAACATAGAGAACAAACTCAAAATTCAGGAGAGAAAAGTTGATGGAGCTCCCACAAAATGGTACCTTATCTTTTCACTAAAATAGATGGCAATGTCAGTGGCTTAAAGAGAAGTAGACAAGTATGAGTCTTGGCATTTGCGGAGAGCAGAAAAGGTCTGGAAGCCTCAGTGGAAGGCAACAGGAAATCAGTTAGTGATTTCCTATCACGAAGCTGATAAGAAACTCATAGTATTTCCAATCAAAATGGTTACACAATTTTCCTTAACAGCTCTGATGCTATGAAGTGACAAAATCAAATAGCTATAGATTGACAAAATAACCCAAAGGGTGAGGCCCACTAGGATGCAAATGCAAATACTTCTAAGGGGTGGTCACAAAGCTGCCACTGAGCACAAGGAGAAGGGAGCTGACAGATAGGAAATGTAAGGAGCTAAGGTGCCACAGGGTCCTGATGGCATGGGAATAAAGGTTCAGCAGAAGTGGAAAACTGGACAAGTAGGAGGACTGAAGATTATGGCCGGCAGAGGAACTTTAGAGTTTGTGATTTCCTAAGTAAAAAGTTCAAGATGGGTTCTTCAATCCTTAGTAAACACTGCTCTAGACACCTGAGGGTATAGCAGTGAAGAAGGCAAAGCCCCACTTCCATTCAGTCCATGTTCTAGTTAACTGTAGAAGAGAGCAAAACTGAAGACAATTTTTCAGAAGAATCATATAAATGTGTTTAAGCAGCAAAAATGATGACTGAGCCCAACACAAGAAAG